AGTTGAGGGGCACCTGGGCTGTTTTGGAGATCTGGCATATTACAAATAATGCTGCTATGAACATAGTTGAGCACATGTCTTTGTAGTATGATTGCGTATCCTCTGGAAATAGACCCAATAGCGATATTGCTGGGTCTTGAGGCAGATTGTTTCCTGTTTTTCTGAGAAATCGCCATACTGATATCCAAAGCAGCTGTACCAGTTTGCACTCCCACCAGCAATGGAGGAGTGTTCCCTTTACCCCACATTCTCTCCAGCATAAGCTGTCATCATTGTTTTTGATCTTGATCATTTTGATAGGTATAAGATGCAATCTCAGAACTGTCATAGTTGGTTCTTTGAAAGGATTATTAAACCATCAGTCAATACTGAGCGCAATGTGAAACACAGTGAGAGTGGAGCCACAGAACAGGTAAATATTTTGATAATTACATCAGGGTTGATTATATGGAGCAAGAATAATGTCTCATGAAAATCCATGACAGCAATAATGATTGAAATGGAGAGAATAGATAAGTATAAAGGCTTATAGCATAGGTATCACTGAAGAAGAGGTGAAGGACTATTCCTATTTTTAGGAATAGCAATCAGGGGAATGTACTGTGATGTCTAGGGTAACCACTAAAACAGTGTTTTAAAACTACAACTGACAACTAATAAAGGGAAAATGATGAAGTAGTAAAACTTTGAACACAGGCATGAGCAGCATATGGCTTGGCCTCCAGGGCTGTCTCCCTGGTACATGTCGTCTTCTTTCTGCAGGACTAGGGACTCTGATCCTGGGTCCAGAGCACTCTCAGTTTTAAGAATCTTTTCATTCTTTAAGGGTGGCTCCATGTTAGTTGGCATCTGAAAACATCAAGTGTGCCAGGCAGGCAGTGGTTTGGGTTCCTTCATTTCTTTGTCAACTTTTGAAACTTTTACCCATTTTTCCTCCCTTCTTACTATATTCCTAGCATAAGTTTAACTTATTTGTATTATTATTCTTATCTTTACCAGATTTACTTAGTTTTATTTATTGTAGAATCACATTTTAATCTCTTGCTTCTTTCTCTCTTTCTCACATTTTTCTTTCTTTGTATTTTTATTTAATTCCTTCCCTCTTTCCCTGCACCAGTCCTTTATTTACCTCATATATTATTACTACTCTTATGATAGGGAGTTTTAAACTGCAGAGCTTATGCTACACACTTTTGCATTTTCTTCTGTGGATGCTGAATTGACTTTGACTGCTTAATTATATGTCTATCTGGCTTGACTTAGTATTGTTGCTTTTACTGTAGTTTGTTTGGGTGACTAAGTTCAGAGGACAACTCATAGAAGTCAGTTCTCTGCTTTGATCATGTGGGCCTTGGGAATTGAACTCAGGTCATCAGGCTTGGTGGTAGGTGCCACTGAACCATCTTAATGCCTCACCTCATTACCCTTCATTTTGACTTTTCCATCTTCCGAAGAATAGAGGTATATAGAAGGAGCTAGAAACAATCATTCTGGTTGAGAAAACTTAGACACAAAAAGACAATGTATTTTCTCTCATTTGTTAATGTTAGATTTGAATCTTTAGAGATGTATATCTCATATTGTGTATTCATAGAAGTGAGGAAATTAGTAAGGCTCTAATGAGGCATGTAGATAGAAGTTTCTGTCCTGCCCAGTCTTTCAGTCATTCAGCCCCAAATAAATACACAGAGGCTTATATTAATTATAAACTTTTTTGGCCTGTTGCTCAGGCTTATTACTAACTAGCTCTTATGACTTAAATTCACCCATAATTCTTGTCTATGTTTAGCAATATGACTTGATACCTTTTTTTCACCCTGTGGGGCCCTGGTGTGAAAGCATTTACTTAACCAAAGCTTTGTTCTCATAGTCAAATCTACATAAATCTACATAATCTCCTCCCCCACAATTATCCTTTTTAATAGGACTTATTGACGAGAAAGGAGCCCTAAGCAGAAGGCACTGAACAGAGACAGCATGTCTGCTCTTACTAATAAACAGGTCTGGGCGGCCCTGAATTCTCTAACAGTCAACTCAGGAGGGTGGAATCTATTGGCCTTTGCTCTACCCTAACAAGCTATTAATATTCTGTACTTACCTTCACCTTTCATTTGGCACAAGGCCTTAGTCTAAGAAATTAACTGTTTGTACCTTTATCCCTAAAATATACAGGAAAAAAGCTTGGGCCACTAAACCAGTCCCAGAGAAGGAAATTCCTTCCTACCTGGCTGCCAGTGGATACAGCACCCCGATGGTTAGCCCAGGGGCCAAGCTCCATCCTAATCCTCCCAATATCTGCCAGGGAGCTTCTCAGTCCTGCTACATCTGAGACATAAGGCGGCTACCTTGTCAGTCTTTTATCCATCCCGTTAGCCATAAGAAATACATGCTTGGTATCATTGTTATTTACCAGAAAATTGTTACCTATGTCTGTGTGGGTATATAAACTGGAAACCTTGTGGCATGGGAAGAACGGTGAGGAACATTAATGAAGGAAACATCCAGAGAGCATTGGGGAGAGCATAGGAAGAATAAACGGAAACATGATAAAAAGACTTATGTGAGCTAATTTATTTCATTTACCCTGAGAGCTTATTTTCACCTGCTACAGTGATCCTTCTGAATCCTGAAGGGTTTAGTGGGGCTTAAGCTCAACATGAGCCTCAATGGTGTATAATAATCACTGGATAGGATGAGCCTACTGGTGCAGTAGTGCCAAATCTGTTATAGGAACAACCGTCCCCTTTCTGATTGGATTTGATGTCTGTTCCACAGGAAGGAATTCAAGTCTGGTACTGTAAACACAACAAAAACTTGTGTCTGATGAGGTCATAGGCCATACTGGGGAAGCTTCTGCTTTCTTTCTTTTTCTAAATTTATATGATGTACCTGTCAAATTGCCTCCTAAAGAAATTTATGTTCATGTTTAATGTTTTTGTCAGTTTTGATCAGAGAAGCATCTTTTTGCAGTGGCCAGAAGTTATTACAAACTCATATCTGATCAAGTATGGAGAATTAAGTGACTGTTGAATGCCATTTATAAATGTTACCTTACTTCCATGGCTCAGTACATCACACAAGGGGCATATTAAATAAATCTAAATACTAAAGACTGGTGGTAATGGTTTGGAAAACTGACCCCCTGGCACAAATGCCCATTGCACTCTTAAATACACAGCACGTTATCACTTTCACAAGCTTAGTCATACAAGCTGTCAATACTTTGTTATGCAACGGGAAGGGAATTGTGGGCTCCCACCCTTTCCTACCTATTTACCTATAGTTAATGGTTGATGGGGCAGAGACACTTCCTTCAGTGGTATAGCCACTGGTAAGGCAGTCATGTTCCTATAAAACACACTGATTAAACTCATTGACATGAACGTAAGATGGGGGCTGAGAAGATATGGGGATTAGCAGGAGTGGGAGGGAACGAGAAAAAGTACCACACACCAATATGATCAAAATACACCATGTTCATGAAAGACAAGGTCATATTAAAGTTGTTTAATATGTTTATATGCTAATAAAATATAAAAGATTGGTACGGAAGGCTGCAGGATTATTAACCTGCAAAGCAGGCCATCAGTTGCTATTTCCGCCTTGCTTTTGTTCAACAAAGCCATCATGGGGCTCCATTAGCTCTCATTTGGATTGTCATTTCTGGAAGCCTGGTTAATGAAAATGCCCTCTAGCTGCACCTAATGCATATCCTGCTTTCACGTGCAGGGGGCAATCTAGGGGCTGCTCTCTCCCAGCTCATCTGCAGCAGATGGCCTCTGCCAGATTCAGAAGGATCAGAGGCATATTTTTTTTTTAAGATAGTGAAAATAATACACATTTTCTTAAATCTATCATCTGAGTTGGAGGCTGGAGGCAGCAAGACTTTGTGAAGGTTTTGGCTCTAATGACTTGATGCTAATACAATTTTCGAGAATTTCCATGGAGTTCTCGCGAATCCATCAGCTTCTAATTTGGAGCCTATTTTCTTTGCTCTCTTGGTACTTTGTGGTGGTTACGATGAGTGATTCTTGGTTATTCCTAAGCTAGTCATTCTTTACATCATTCCCCGGCTTCAACAACATGGGCATTCTGTTTATTTGACTATAACCCTTTCTATATAATGTTGAAAGCCTTACAAGCTTTCCTTTAAGTTTTACAAAAGACAGTAGGACTTCACTAATTCTAGAAGTGGGCCTTTGGGAAGGAGCATCCTGTGCTTGGCCCTAGGGTCAGTGGAAATGCTGTTTCCCCACCTGAGGTCCCATCACTGGTCCTGATGCTCCTCCACTGTGACTGTGTTCAGACTCGGGAGCTTGAGCGTCTCTCCAATTAGAATTAGGAGTCTTAGAAAACACAGTGGTTTATAAATGGGACAGAGAGCCATTGTCAGCGTAAGAAACTGCAGAGACAACAACAATAGAGATGCCGTTTCCCCTCATTACATCAGTTTCACATTTTCCTTCTGGAGAATTGTCTTGGCAGATTTTTTACTTAACAAAATCAAGCAGACAAATTAGATAAAAGCCAGTTTTTTTCCCAGTGTATTCTATGTCTCTTAAGAGATTAGTTTGAAAGTACTAGACTATCTTTTGAATGGCATTTCTCGTAGGACAAATTCTGCTTTACACTTTAGATGCATGTTTGACAAACGCCAGAATATTAGTCTCTTGTGCAAGCTGCAGGCTTGACCCTCTGTGTACACACTGTACCCAGAGTCATGCTAAACACTCCAAGCCCTCACTATTGTGGAAAGATGCTCTGACACTGTACCCAGAGTCATGCTAAACACTCCAAGCCCTCACTATTGTGGAAAGATGCTCTGACACTGTACCCAGAGTCATGCTAAACACTCCAAGCCCTCACTATTGTGGAAAGATGCTCTGACACTGTACCCAGAGTCATGCTAAACACTCCAAGCCCTCACTATTGTGGAAAGATGCTCTGGCCTTTAAATCTAGTTAAAGCAGAAACAGCCTTCAGAGGCATCAGACGGCTGCAGCTCTAGGAGGTGATCAGGCAAAATGTAAACGGGGGCACTTGGCTCCAAGCATCAATTTGTTTGACATCAATTGACTGACACTAAAACTCAACTAGGCCATCACAAGAGAATTTCCTTACCGGGATGTTTGTCTGGGAAGCTCTGTTGCGAACCCACCAGATTCCTGATCATGAACCGAGCAAAAGAAAGCAGGCACACACATCCATCTACCTTCTTTCTCATGCTTTACTTCCACACCCGATGCTCCATTTCTGGAGCAACTCTCCCCGGTCCTTTCCAGATAGCCAGACACACGAGGGAACCTCAAACAGGCAAAAGACCCTTGGGCTACCAGGAGATACCACTTTTTAGTTCACAGTTACATGAAAATGAAAATATATGTATAAAAAACCCAAATAACACAGACACAAAAAATCCATTTACGTCTGGTGAATTCTCAGGGTTCAAAATATTAGGGTTCATTATCTTCCCTGCATGATAGAACAGAGGCATGAACACTAAGGACAAGGTGGCAGAATCGTCCTAATAGTCTTGGCCAGTGGCAACAGCTGTTTCCTATCTTCCAAAGTGGTTTCAGATCTTCTCTAGTTTCCTTACGTAAATGCAGTGAGCCAGTCAGTTGTGACTGTGCACTGGTTATGGCGCCTTTCCCAGGCCGACAGGGCTTCAGATTCCCTCTCACAACCCAGATGAAGGATGCGCTGAAACACTACGTGGGGAAGTGATGGGTTTCGCCAGGCCTTAATCATGCTTTACTGAATTCTCCAGTACTCCAGTCTACATTGTTCCTGCAGTAGGCATGGAAGGTACAAAGTTGACAGTAGCCAGACCACAGGAAAGCTAAAGACAAGCATATCCAGATGGGGGGGGGTGGTGGTACACCCCAGGAGGCTTTCGATCAGGCCCGCTTTTGTAGCAGTGTTTGGCACTTGGTGTCATTCTGAGAACAGGGAAGGGAGCAGCTTGCCAAAATCCTTGTGCAGTAGCCTCAAGGACTTGTCCTTTATCACTCTCCCCCTTGTCTCCAGCATCTAAGTGAAGAGGTGACTTAGTGGGAACCTGAAGCTGGCCCATCAGTGTGCGGCAAATCTCTCAGGACACAGAATTCCTGTCTTAAGATTAGGGCTGTGTGCTTTACGGCTGGAGCCCAGGGAGGACAGACCCCTTTAGGTCGGTCCCTTATCAGACCCAAGAACTTACTTATCCTTGGTCACAAAGAAGTTGAGGCTGGTAAGTAGTCTTCAGGATTTAGAACAGCCTAGGTTTCCCAAAACATAATAGCAAAAATTTCTTAGAGTCCCAAATCTCCTACTTCACACCATGATGTAGAGGTAGGAGCATGCTTGTGAAAGAGAAGCCTCGACTGCGGAGAGCGGACGAGTTCCGGAAGAGGTGACATATGGTATGGGCAGGTCAAAGAGATGCCTCAGAACAGGTCTCCTAGGGTTAACCACAGAGTCCATCCCATCCCAGCTGAGGGCTGAACAATGTTCTCCACACACGGCACATAGCTAGGTCTTTCTCGTATGGGTTCTCTGGTGCCTGATTAGGTGATACCCTCTACTGAAGCTCTTCCCACAGGTAGTACAAGTGAAAGGCTTTTCTCCAGTGTGTGTTCGTTGATGTCTGACGAGATGATCCCTCCTGCTAAAGCTTTTACCACATTCATCACACCGGCAGTTCCTCACAGAGGCATGACCTTTCTGGTGCTTGGCAAATGCTGCACTATTGTTGAAGGAGCGCCCACATTCACTGCAGAGAAAGAGCTCCTCAGTCACGTGTGTCTTCCGATGTGTCAGAAACTGTTTCTGGTCACTGAAGTCCTCTCCACAGTCCGTACATGAGTAGGGCTTGCCTGTAGCATGGGTTCTTTGGTGTGTGGTTAACACAGATTTCTGACTGAAGCTTTTGCCACAAGTAGTACAGAAGAAAGGTTTTTCCCCTGTGTGTGTCCTCTGGTGCCTGACCAGGTCTGAAGTCCAACGGAAATGTTTTCCACAGTCATCACAGCTATACGGTTTTTCTACACGGGCATTACCCCCCGACTGGGTCAGAGGGGCATCCACATTCTTCCGGTTTGGAGGATGTTTATGAGGAGGGTTTGTCTTATGGACTTTCTGGTGCCTGGCAAGATGTGAGCTCCGTGTATAACTTTTCCCACACTCCATACACTTATAGGGCTTTTCTCCTGTGTGAGTTCTCAAGTGTCTAATAAGATGAGAATTGCATGTGAAGCTTTTTCCACATAGAGGGCAGTGATGTTGCCTCGCTACCTGGGGGTGACCAGGAGTAGTTTCCCTAGTTTTTGTGGAATTATTAACTTGAGAAATATTTGTGCCAAATCTCCTTTCATTAAGTCTACTTGTATTACCCTCAAAGACTATCTCCCAATCTGGAGTCTGGTGAGTTTCTGGGTCTACCAAAATAGACCTGTGTGGATCTTCTTGCTCAACACTTCCTTCCCCATCTTCACTCAGGTCTCCTAGAGAAGGGGCAAGAACAGAAAGGAGAAGCTATGATAACAAACCTTTTATACCACGAGAGAATTTTTAATGGTTTTTCTAATAAATAACAGGGAGAGGGAGGGTGTAGAAGAGGCTAATGACAGACAGGTCTGTCTTTCAGAGAAAGGCATTAATTAGTAAGAAGAACCAATGAGTGGGTATGGGGTATGGCCATTGCAGTGGGTGAGGCAGGATTGAGAGTTCAGTCCCTGGGCTAAAAAGTGAGACCATCACAAAAAGTGGAGGATAAAATAATGAAAGGGAACCAACGAGAAAGGGCCGAGGAGAAAAGAGGCACACTGACTAGAGGGGGCTGTCCAATGCGGTGTCAGAGCTGTCTGCTGCTCCTTACCTGTATAGGTAAAACTCAGGATTTCTGTTTCTGCAGGCTCCTGAGATTCGTGGACATCTGGGACCTGAGGCTCTTCTTCTCTAATCTGGGAGGTATCGTCCAGTCTGGGAATTGGAAATGCTGCTCAAGAGATGAGAAAAAAGGACATCATGATTGGTTCAATACTTCCCCAAGTTAAAAGCAGATTTTTATGGACTGGTAGGTGGTAGAGCAAAAAGGTAAATTAACTGGTCAGCTATTACTAGTCTTTAGCTTGGCACCTCTACGTGCTGCCCATCTTCTACATTTCTTGTGCCTTAGTAACTATTAAATGTGAGCCTTGCTCCTTCCCTCTTGTTGAGGAATGCAGATTATCTTTGCTGTCACTGCTTCAAAACTCATGTTTACTTCAAAAGTTAAATATTAAAGCTAAAAAAACTAACAGTATTCTCCCATTAATTTTCCCAAGCACCTTTATTTCTTCCTTTCAGTTGGAAGGATATCATCTTCTTCAGCTAACTGGTCTTTAATCTCATTGTGCGGTAGGCATGCATAAGTGAAAATTTAGTTCATGTGGTCCAGGTCTTTGCCTCCCCATACTCCAATATAAAAAATATGTTTGTGGCTAGAATGCCCTGAAATACATGCAACTCCTTACACAGAGAAACTACAATTCCACAATCTTCTTCCAAGACATATTCTCCATAGAATTCTTTTTGTGTTGGATCCAGATCACTCCACTGATCCTGTGAGAAGCACAGAGCCACATCCTTGAATGTGACCAGTCCCTGAAATGACACAAGGATCCAATCAGGATGTGATGCTTCAGGTAGCCTACTGTGTTTTGGGTAGAGTACACCCAAAGATTAAGGGAATGCTAGCAGGCAGAAAGGTTTCCTCTGGGGAGCCTGCTTCCCACTGCTGCTGCTTTTGAACCTTCAGCACTCGAGGAAAGCATCGACGCTGTTTCTGCTCTCCAACCCACAGTGTTTCCTTAGGTCAGACTTCATTCTTCTTCAGGGTATTGTTTAAATCTAACACAGATCTTAAATCATTCAACTCCCTATCTGGTATTTCAGTGGGGGGTCTCTATGAAAAATCATCGTTTCTAGGAATCTTTCCCAAACTACTCCATCTATTTTCATCTACAGTCAGAACAAGGAAGACATGAAAGAATTCTATCCCCTTTTCTCAGCCACATAATTTCAGATCAAGAAAGGATCCGAAGCTATCAAGGGGGATAGCTCCTAAATATCACAGCAGTCATGTTAGCCATTCTTACAAATGATAAACAATAATCCCACTTAGTACATTTCAGTAGTACCTTTGGCACATAAAGAGACTATGAAGACTGGAGTTGAAAACATCTCTTTAATTTGACACAGTTTCTTTTCCTATCCCGCGTACCCACAGAACTGAAGACTTAGTACACTCTTAAGTGTGCACATTTGTATCCCCAATTTGTTCAGCATATGGCTAACACCCAACAAATCTTCAAATATGTATTTTGAACTGGGGTTTACCTGAGAGAGGGCAGTGAGAAGAGCAACCATCCCTGGGTCTCCAGACCCTTGTTCTGCAGGAAGGTCTGGATCCTGGGACACTGGAACCTCTAAGGGAAAAAAAGGAGACAGAGGTCAGCAGCATCCGACAGTGAACTTAAAAAGTGGCCTTTGGCCTTAATTTCTCTGTTAAGAGAATCGAGAAACTGGTCTAAGGTCAATTATCCTATCCATCATCACCTACAACCTCATCAGAAAGCTAGGAGCACTCACGAATATCACTATTTAAATGTGGCCCCATATTGAGGCAGGTTCTAGCTGGCTCTTTCTATTCTCAGCATCATGATTCTGGGCTTTATTTCCATTAAGGATTTTCCAGCTTGTGTGATACAGGAGAACCCCATCCCTCCATTTCCACTTCACTTTGCCCAAATCTCCGCTTCTTGCTGTGGTCTCTTCCTACCACTTTCCTGCAGAGGCTGGCGCTCCCCGTCACGCTGCAAGCTCTCTTGTTCCGATGTCCCCAGATCTGTTCTTCTGAGGGCTTCCTCAGGGGGCTGCTCAGGGGTCAAGGTCTGTGTTGGATCTTGTTGCTCACTGGAGGACTCTGGCTCCACTTCTAGGGGTGGTGTCTCTTCTGACAGGACTTCCTGGCCCTGAACATGGACGGTTACCTGGGAAAAATTTTAACTTCCAGTCACCATGGAGTCAGGAGTAAATTGTCATCAGGGGTTATTTTAGGAGAACACTCCCGGAGGGAATCAGATGAGGAAGGGAAATTCAATAGGCATGTGAACAACTGGTTATCTTCGCAAAGACAAGACAGGACACAATGGAACTATTTTATTTTTCTACTCTTAAACTTTATTTCAGCCATCTGGGGTCCCGAGGTTTCCATCTTTCCTTATTTCAGGTCTTTCATTGTTTGCTTCCCCAGATTACCATCCTAGCAAAGGGATTTTGGGATTCAGAGTCTAGGTGAACTTCAAGGAAGTCTAATAGTTGCTTTCTGAGGACCCCACAGTTCTACATACAAAGAAATCAAAAAATCCAACTTCAGTGGCACAGGAAGGTGATCCAATCCCTAGAAACCACACTCACACACACATATATCCCAGCCCTGATGGGGCTCATGCATCTATACACAACCCAGACAGAACCAGGAAAATTTAAAAGATAATTTACGGGGTCCTCACACTCTCCCTGCATCTAGTCTTTCAGGAAACAGCCCCCTCCACATCACACAGATCAGGACTCCCCCTCCTCACCCACCGCCTTGGTCTCCTGGGTCGTTTCTGCAAACCCTCCACCAGCGTCACGGCCTCCTCGCCACTCTCTGGCCGCTGGCCGCGCACCCAGCTCTGCAGTTCTCCAGGCAGGACGGTGAGGAACTGCTCCAGCACGAGCAGCTCGAGGATCTGCTCCTTTGTCCTCCTCTCTGGCCTCAGCCATTGATGACAAAGCTCTCGAAGTCTGATGAGGGCTTCTCTAGGGCTGGATGCTTCCTGGTAGCGAAAGCGTCGGAAGTTCTGGTGAGAGGTCTCCAGCACAGGGTCATCCCCCTGCAAGGCAGACTCTGGCCCGCAGGTGAAATCATCCTCCAGCTTTACCATCATGACTCCTTCTTCTTCCCAAACGTCTTGGTCCTCTGGTTCCAAGGCAGTAGCCATTTCCTGGCTCTTGAGTGTTATCACACCATTTAGGCCTCACATTGGCATTAATGCATTTCAGTCTGGGTACCTCAAGGGGTTCCGCCCAAGGGATCTAGGATAGAGAAGTAAAGATGAAAGAGGATGATGCCTGCAGTTATGCAGAGACAACAGTTCTGACTTTGTGATTCTCTGCACACTTCTTAAATAATTCCCCTCTCCAGTCTCCATAACTGTATTTTGCAATGAAATCCACGTAACCTAGTGGATTTGCCTACCTAAGGTACCTGATTGTCTGATAAAAACCTAGGAAGATCACCCTCTTAGGCAAGGCTCCTAGGTCTGAGGATTAGAGGGTACATTGCTATACCCTTAACACTGTAGTTCTACTTCCTAATGTCTTTCTTCCACTTCCTTCCTGCTGAATTCTTTAGTCTGACTCCATCACTTCCTGTCAGACTATACCCAGCACATTCTGAGATCCCCATTGTTGTGGACTATTATTTTAACTAGGCAAAGATGTATTACATTTGTTTATGCTGCAAAAATGTTTCTTTAACCGTGTAAAACTGGCTTACTTTTGTTTCTGCTGCATTTGCTGAATGACGTAAGGATGTGTTTAATTATGTAGAGATGGGTTGCATCTGCTTCACCTTGCCTACCTAAGGTACCTGATTGTCTGATAAAAAGCAGAACAGCCAATAGCTATGCAGGAGAAAGGATAGGCATGGCTGGCAGGGAGAGAGAATAAATAGGAGGAGAAATCTACACCGGATTTCTCCAGAGGGAAGGAGAGAAGAAAGACAAGAAAGAGAGAGACATGCCCGGTGCAAGAAGCCAGGTAGCCATCAGCCAGAAGCAGTGAAAGTAAGATACACAGAAACAAGGTAAAAAGGTAAGATAAAGGGCAAAAGGTAGATAAAGAGAAACAGGTTAATTTAGTTAAAAGAGCTAGCCAGAAATGAGCCCAAGCTAGGTCAGCCCAAACAAACCAAAAGCCCCAAAAAGCTAACAGTAAGCCTCTGTGTCCGGATTTGGAGCTGGCTGGTTGGTTGGTAACCTAAAAGAAAAAGGCTGGTGCATCTCATAGTTCTTAAATGGCTGGGAGAAAAATGCTCATAATGCCTACTAACCAATGCCCCAGTGGCCATGGTTTGTTTCACAGCACATAACATGTATATCATGAGACACCGGCAGGGTAGGCGCAGCTTATGCAAGACTGCATCACACATAATATTAACCTCTGTAAAATGGGAATTCTTGGAGTTTTAAGAACTCCAAGAAAGAGCAGTGAGGAAAGACACTAACATGAGCAGCACTCCAAAACCCTGCCTTTATATTGCTAAAACATCTTTAATCGATTAACTTATTGATCCTCAAATTCACTAAGGACACTCATTTACTCTAGTCTTGCTTGCAAACTTACCTTCTAAGTGCCTTGGCAGGGACCAATTGTTAAGAAAATACTCAATTTAGTAATCCTTGGATTCAACTTTGATTCTTTCTCATTGTTTAAAATTTGTTAAACCAACCCTACCTCTTAAGCTTCTAAATGCTTACTCCTCTTCTTCCTGCTGCTTCTATGCGGTCCTTACCACCTTGCCTGAACTACAGCCATGATTTCCTATGTGTGTTCCCTGCAGTACTCAGTCATGAGTAAAATACAGCAAGATAAAATAAAATACAGTAAAATACAGCAAAATACAGAAAATATCTATTTTCCAAAAGACATTCTGATTCAATGTATCTAGACAGTTATGCCTTTAGAAATGCTACTTGCTATCCTATTGCGATCCCTGGTTGGGTAAAATCAAGGGAAGTAAGGGAAGTTAAGAGTGCCTAAATTTGCCTTCTATCATTTAGCAGGTACGGGACAGGAGTGTGTACCAGTGGGAAGTTTTCTCTGCCAAATGACTTTTCTCATCAATAGAATGGAAATGATAGTATTTTCTATTAGTGTAAATTTGAGATTAAATGTCTTACTGTTCGTTATATTCAGAAGGGAAACTATTCACTTTCTAAAGTATACTTCCAATGATATGACTCAGTATGATAAAAAGTACTGTTTATAATGTTAGTAAGATCACCTCAAGCCTGTGCAGGGCATGCAAAGTTCTTTACAGTGTATCTTACCCATTCTCTGTACCACCTGCTATAGTGACTGCACCGATGGCCAACGGCATGAGCTTGTAGGCCTCCCTGCATTTTGAAGACTGTACCTATTGCACACACTCCCCACTCCCTCCTCTTTACTGCTACAAGGTGCGTGACTATTTCTTACAAGTTTTTCCTTCTCATTTCCTTGCTTTGATGATCTAACTGGTCCTCATCTTGATTATCTAAACTGCCTCTGGAGTTGCTATCTTCACGTCACCATTCTTTAGCAGGTACGTCTATTTGCGGCCTGTGGGCCACACGTTTCCCAGGATAGCTGAATACAGTCAATACATTTGTAGATGACATTATTTTGCAACATCAAAAGTTTGGAACCTTGATCTACACTGTTACCAATGTTAGCTGTCACAGTGAATCTGGTCACGTTCTTCCCCTAGTAAAGATTCTCAATCATTCGTGCTTTTTTCCTTATGTGAACAAGCTTCTTTAAGCACACCACACTGTATCTGGTCTTAGTCTTGTTATTCCCTTTGCTATTCTGTACAGCCATTCCCACCATTCCTCAAGTGGATGCACATAATATTTACAAGTGTTCCATGCATTTTAGCCTTTTAATATGCACTGTTAAAATTCCTTCCCAGGAGAAATATAGGCAATAGCTACCCCTTGTCCTAAGTTCCTAACAAGAAACAGAGGCATGGTTTCACCAACTTTCACTCTGGGGAATGAGTGTTTATTACAGAGAACAGGTGAGGGGTTACTTACAGAGGTGTAGTCATCACTGCGCCAGAGACACACTTAGAGAACTTGACCTAGCAGGGATGTAAGGCTTCCCTAATAGCTGCACAGATGGAGGCCCTGCTCTAGGCTTCTCCAGTGTTTGTATTCTGACCCCTCCCCCAAGAAATGTGCAGAGTTGCCAGCTGGTAAGGAGTAGTTGGATTGGTGGGGGAAGAACTATAAACAAGCTGGAATCATTTGTAAGCAGGCACAGCTGAATGCTCCAAGATGGCAGTTGGTTGGCTTGGAGGAAAATCGCACACTATTCTTCCTACCTGCGACATTTAGTTAGGATAAACTTTACTTATCTTTTAAGACATAGCTTAGGTCTTGGTGTCTTCTGAGATGTTTCCTTGGGTCCTTTTCTCTCTACCCTTACACATGGTTAGAAATTGCCTAAGTGGGTCAAAAGCAATCTGCTCCATCACTGTCACTATTACATAACAACTGTTTATTTTCTTTGTTAGGAACTGTGAGTTTTCCTCTCTGAAGCCTCTTAAAAGGAACACTACAAATGCACTTATAATGAATCTCTACTCTCATGTCTTCCTCTTGCTATAGCAGCCAACCTCAGCCTTTCTGTAGCTGTACTCATATTTTCCTAATTCACCGAGTCTAGTTAATTCTAACAAAATGGACTTCAAACTCACCATGTCTTCACCTGCATTAAATTCTCTAGTTGAGCATGACAACCTACCATATTTGAATGGCTACAGTCTCAACCCCGGAAAAGCACTGGCCTATGTCAAGTACTGTGTGCTGAGTGAACCACTTGAGTTCAAGCTTTACAACTGTTTTTGGCTCTGTCCTCCAAACAAGAATGTTATCCATCCAAGAGACTCTTTATTTGTCAATCACTTTGTTCTGCACTGCAGTTACCTGCAACCAACCCTCAAAGTTATCATCTGATTCTCATCAATTGCTCCTGGACTGCTGCTGTATTTAAAAAACCTATGGCCAGAGATTACATGGTTCCCATATTTCTTTTAATCCAAGTTACTTCATTAAATTGTCCTTGATCATTTGCAATATCGTTTCTATGTTTTTGATAGTTCTATAATGCTGGGGAGTATTATTTTAAGGTGTGTTACTTTTTTATGCTGTGGAACATCTGCTTAATGGTGTGAAGATGTACTGCTCGTTTAACCTGCATGTTTAGCTCTGTGAAGCTGTGATTTTTTGCCTGTCTAAAACACCTGATGGTCCTCATAAAGAGCTGGATGGCCAATAGTGAGATAAGAGCAAGGATAAGTAGGGCTGATAGTCATAGAGTATAAACAGAAAAATAACCGGGGAGGAGGAGCAAGAGAACAGGGAGAGGAAGACATCAGGGGCCAGTCACCCAGCCACCCATGGAGTAAGAGTGAAGTAAGACATAGAAATAAGAAAAGGAAAAAGCCCAGAGGCCAAGGATAGATGGGATAATTTAAATTAAGAAAAGCTGGCAAGGAACAAGCCAAGGCTTGGCATTCATAACTAAGAATAAATCTCCGTGTGTGACTTATCTGGGAGCTGAGTGGTGGGCCCCCCAAAAGAGGGTAAAGAGTAAAAAACAACACTATAATCCCTTTTAAATCTGTGTGCTAATGTGGCCATGCCACAGTGCACATCTGGAGGTCAGAGGACAACTTGCAGAAGTTGGTTCTGTGTCTACCAAGTGGCTTCTATGGATCAGGTCACTAAGTTTGGCAGCAAGCTCTTTACCTGTTAAACCATCTTGCCCAGTTCTATCATTCCTATGTCATCTTGTGCTAAGTTTCTCTACTTCTAGGTAGTTTGCATTTTTGTTTTTAATTTTATGCTCATCTTTAGTAAAGTATTTTTTTTTTGGTAGAATTAAAAATAGGCAGAATTTCATTTGTTTCTAGCTCACCACTAATGGTTTTAGAAATTCTGAATTGGTTTTAACATTAACTTTTCATGGTATTCCTGAAAAGTAGTTTTAGTATGTTATCGGAACCTCAAGTGGTTTATTTAAAAAAAAAATAAAGATTTTGAGCTGGGAGGGTGGTGCATGCCTTTAATCCCAGCACTTGGCAGGCAGAGGCAGGCAAATTTCTGCAAGTTCAAGGCCAGCCTGGTCTACAAGAACTGGTTCCAGGACAGGCTTCAAAGCAACACAGAAATCCTTCAAAAAAGAAAAAAAAAAAGATTTTGATTTAATATTTGTCTAGGTACCCAAAGAGGCCATAAGATGTTGGATTCCCTGGAGCTGGAGTTACAGGTGATTGGGAGCTGCCTGACATGGGTACTGGGAACAGAACTTCAGTCTGTGAGAACAGCATGTGTCCTTAACAAACCCTGAGTCACCTCTCCAGTCCTCCAAGTGATCTTTGTGTCACCAGAGGATCTCTCTGGAAGGTAAGGTTCTTCAAGACTTGGCTAGCCTCTGTGGGCCTCTCTTTTCTACCATGAGTGCCACTTCCATGACAGCCATTGCTCAAATTACTACTTTGTATCTCCTACTTCCTTTTAACAGGAATTTCTAAGCTTCTCTCTGAAATACCTTACTAAGCCTTCACTTGCCTAACTCCACTCTTCCTTCCAATCTGTTTTCTGAGTTCCTCTTAACTAACCCCTCCCAGGTGGTGAGTAACAAAACCTATGCCTCTCCATTTCACAGTACCCACTGTGTTGTAAAAATTGTTCCTCTGGTGGCAAAATAACTCATGGAACTATATAGGGTTTGAAGCGGGGGCATGTTGTACTCTGCTCAAAGTCTGGCAAACAGTAAGTGTGTGCTTCATAATTAATGAGGGCATATGACATTTCCTGAGTTTCTCTCATTGGGAAGGATAGTTACCGTGTCATATTAATTATTATTTACTCAAATGTCCCGCAAAATTTGAATAAAGACAAATTTACTGTTTATTGTAAGTAAATAGGACATTCTCAGTGGTTTTCAGTGTGATGGAATAACCTTCAGGTCACTTTGGGGCATAATTCAAATACACATTACATAAAACTGGGCATTCGGAAAAAGCATTTTTCTTTGATATTTCAATCAGCCTTAGTAAGCACAATCCAGACATTAAATAATTTAATGTAATGTCAATATTATTTACCCAGATAAAGCTTTCCAATATGTGTCCCTAACATTCACTCCTGTAAAGCAGATACACAGAGCTGCTACACAAGGTAGCCTAACTTAATACAAACAGCTCCATTACTTAACAATCTGAGAACCAACGTTCAGCGAGGTAAACTAGGAATTCCCTTGGTCTTCAGGGAGCATCAGGCATAAGATTCCATACAATGTATGTCCTGCCTGAAGGGATCCTGCTTTGAGTGGCTTTACTCCCCAAGGAATAAAGAATCTAGCCATGCAGCCATGCCACATAAATCCTGCTGGGGTTTTTAAATGATCCACAGTTGATACTTCTGCTGCTTGTTTTGCATTTATTTTAGCAGGCTTAAAAAGCAAGATGGAGGGAAAGTGGTCAGCAATAGTGGGAATGAAGAGGGGAAGGAGATGCGAATGGAATAGGCATGGCAATTGAGTAAAGCTATAGATCAGGTACCTTGCAATTTGTTGGCCTTCCAATTCCATTACCTTACTTGGGTGTCTTTGGAAGAATTCCACAGCAAGATCAAACCTTGGCATCAAACCTGGTGGCTCAATAGCAAATCCCTGGAGCCTGGGCAGCTTGCCTCTCTACCCAATGCTCACTCCCTATTACCAGTGTCCCCATAGCAACCATCCTGAAGTGGGCAATTTCTCTTGGGCACCTCAGGGTAGAGTTTATAACTAGGTTGGGAGTAGTAAATAATTTGGTTAGAAGAATCACTAAGACAAACGTCTGCAAAGATTCTTCAGAGGAAGGGACAAGTCACACGCCCCCTCCCCTCCCCCAGCTCCTACTGCAAGGGTTTCTTTGTTACACATGACCCTGCCTTCCTCAAGCCTGCCCTATTGTCTGCTAGGTCCTTGGCCCAGGAACAGTTTCCTGGTCCTGCACTAAGGCTATCCACCCAGAGGGGTGAGTGTCTGCCTGTCAGGCAGGCCTGAAGGTCCCCTCAAGGGAGTGCGGGCACCTTCAGCCTGTGCCGAAGGGTCTTCTGTGTTCTTCTCAACCCTGCCCTGCCCCCACGTTCACCCTTTTGTCTGTGGTGTCCTTGGGCTACCAGGCATCCCTGTTTCAGTGCTGAGGAGTTCCATCCGGATGGGTTCTTGGCTCAGAACAGCGTCCTGCTCCTGCACCCAGGCTATCCACCCAGAGGGGACTATTAGGCATCCCTGTTTCAGTGCTGAAGAGTTTCATCCAGACAGGAACAGTTCTTGTCCTGCACTGAGGAGATCCACACAGAGTCAGTCACAGCAAAGACTGGACCAAGACACCAAGAGTCTCCTGGCTCCATCTGAAGGAAGAGATGGGCAGGCGCCAATGCAAGAATTCCTCCAACAACCTGAAAGGCAACATGACACCACCAGAATTCAGGGATCCTGAAACAAGAAGAATTGAACACCCTAGTAGAGGCCTCTTTCTTCCATGAGAGCCTGCTCCCTGCCCTGCCGAGCCCTGCCCAATGGGATGGAAATAAAACCCTGTGTTTTTTGTTGTTTTGTTTTCAAAAAAGAAAAAGAAATAGAAATCAACTTTAAACAGAACTGTATGAAAATAATAGAGGACCTTAAACAGGAGGTGACAAACTGCCATAAACAATTAGAGATTACAAACAAAAAGGTAGAGGAAATGAATAAATCTCTCAAAGATACCCAAGGGGGGAAAAAAACAAGAAAAAGCAATCAAACAGGTAAGGGAAAAATTTCAAGACTTGAAAAATGAAATGGAGGTAATGAAGAAAACCCAAACCAAGGGAAGGCTGGATATGGAAATTTTGGGTAAACAAACAGTAACTACAGAGACAAGTATTACCAACAGAAGAGCTAGAAGAAAGAATATCAGACAGTGTAGATACTATAGAGGAAATAAACTCACTGATTAAAGAACAAAACAAACCCAACAAATTCTTAACACAAAACATCCAGGAAATCTGGGACACCGTGAAAAGACCAAACCCAAGAATAATAGGGGTAGAAGAAGGAGAAGAATTACAGCTCAAAGGCCCAGAAAATATATTCAACAATATTATAGAAGAAAACTTTCCCAACCTAAAGAAGGATACTCCTATGAAGGTGCAAGAAGTATACAGAACACCAAATAGACTGGATCAAAAGAAAGAATTCCCATGCCATGTAATAATCAAAACAAAAAACATACTGAATAAAGAACAGATATTAAGAGCTGCAAAGGAAAAAGGTCAAGTAACATATAAAGGGAAACCTATCAGAATTACACCTGACTTCTCAATGGAAACCATGAAAGCCAGAAGGTCTTAGATAGATGTGCTGTAGACACCAAGAGAACAGGGATGCAAACCCAGACTACTATACCCAGCAAAGCTTGCATTCACCATCGATGGAGAAAACAAGATATTCCAGGACAAAAACAGATTTAAATAATATGTTGCCACAAACCCAGCCTTACAGAAAATACTAGAAGGAAAATCACAAACCAAGGAAGTCAACAACACCAATAATAAGACAAGCATCTGACAACACTCCACCAGCACAACTCAAAGAAGGGAAACACACAAACATTACCACTAAAAAAAATAACTGGAGTTAACAACCACTGGTCATTAATATCACTTAATATCAATGGACTCAATTCACCTATAAATAGGCACAGGTTAAGAGAATGGATATGAAATCAAGATCCAACATTCTGCTGTTTACAAGAAACACACTTCAAACTCAAAGACAAACACTACCTCAGAGTAAAGGGATGGGAAAAGGTTTTCCAATCAAATGGACCAAAGAAACAAGTGGGGGTGGCTATACTAATATCTAACAAGATGGATTTCAAACTAAAATCAATCAGAAGAGATTGTATACTCATAACAGGAACAATTCATCAGGAGGAAGTCTCTATCCTGAATATCTACATCCCTAATATAAAAGCACCCACATATGTAAAAGAAACATTACTAGAACTCAAAGCATACAACAAATCCCACACTCTAATAGTAGGAGATTTCAACACTCTGCTCTCACTAATGGACAGGTCAACCAGACAGAAACTTAACAGAGAAATAAGAGAACTATCAGATGTAATGAACCAAATGACCTTAACAGACATCTATAGAACATTGCACCCAAACAGAAAAGAATATACCTTCTTCTCAGCATCACATGGAACCTTCTCAAAAATTGATCACATAATTAGTAACAAACATCCATAGATACAAATAAATTGTAGTAACCACCTGTGTACTATCGGATCACCATGGAATAAAGTTAGAATTAATCAACAATTCTAACCCCAGAAAGCCTACAAATTCATGGAGATTGAACATTCAATTACTGAACCACCTCTGGATCAAGTAAGAAATAAAGAAAGAAATTAAAATCTTCCTTGAATTCAGTGAAAATAAACATCATACCCAAACCTATGGGACACTATGAAGGCAGTGCTAAGAAGAAAGTTCATAGCACTAAGTGCCCACATAAAGAAAATGGAGAAAGCACACATTAGAGAGTTAACAGCACAGCTGAAAGCTCTAGAAAAAAAAAGAAACAGACTCACCCAGGAGGAGTAGAAGACAGGAAATAATCAAACTGTGGGCTGAAATCAACAAAATAGAAAAACAGAAAACAATCCAAAGAATCAATGAAACAAAAAGCTGGTTCCTGGAGAAAATCAACAATATTGACAAACCGCTATCCAAACTAATCAAACAGAAGAGAGAGAACACGCAAATTAGTAAGATCAGAAATGAAAAGGGGGATATAATCACAGACACAGAGGAAATTCAGAGAATCATTAGATCTTACTACAAAAGCTTGTATGCCACAAAATTTGAAACTGTGAAAGAAACAGACACTTTTTTTTTTTAAAAAAAGATAAGTATCATATACCAAAATTAAATCAAGACCAGGTGAACAGTTTAAATAGACCTGTAAGTCGCGAGGAATTAGAAGCTGTCATCAGAAACCTCCCTACCAAAAAAAGCCCTAGACCATATGGTTTCAATGCAGAATTCTACCAGAACTTCCAAGAAGAGCTAATACCTATACTCCTTAATGTGTTTTACAAAATAGAAACAGAAGAGTCATTGCCAAACTCCTTTTATGAAGCTACAGTCACCCTGATACCAAAACCATACAAAGACATAACCAAGAAAGAGGATTACAGACCAATCTCATTCATGAACATTGATGCAAAAATTCTCAATAAAATACTAGAAAACCGAATCTAAGAACACATCCAAAAAATTATACACTATGATCAAGTAGGCTTCATCCCAGAGAGGCAGGGTTGGTTCAACATACGAAAATCTATCAATGTAATCCATCATATAAATAAACTGAAGGAAAAAAGAAACATATGATCATTTCATTAGATGCTGAAAAAGCATTTGACAAAATTCAACACCCCTTTATGATAAAGGTCTTGGAGAGACTAGGGATACAAGGTACATTCCTAAATATAATAAAAACAATATACAGCAAGCCGACAGCTAACATTAAATTAAATGGAGAGAAACTCAAAGCCATCCCACTAAAATCAGGAACAAGACAAGGCTGTCCACTATTTCCATACCTCTTCAATATAGTGCTTGAAGTTCTAGCAATAGCAATAAGACAGCATAAGGAGATCAAGGGGATTCAAATAGGAAAGGAAGACATCAAACTTACGTTATTTGCAGATGATATGATAGTACACATAAGCAACCCCAAAAACTCTACCAAAGAACTCCTACAGCTCAACATCGTTAGTAACACCTTTAGTAACATGGCAGGATACAAGATCAGCGCCAAAAAATCAGTTGCCCTCCTATACACAAAGGATAAAGAAGCAGAGAGGGAAATCAGAGAAACATCACCTTTCATGATAGCCACAAATAGCATAAAATATCTTGGGGTAACTCTAACCAAGGAAGTGAAAGATCTACTTGACAATAACTTTAGGTCTTTGAAGAAAAATTGAAGAGGATACCAGAAAATGGAAGGATCTCCCTTGCTCTTGGATTGGGAGAATCAACATAGTAAAAATAGCAATTCTACCAAAAGCAATTTATAGATTCAATGCAATCCCCATCAAAAGCCTAACGAAATTCTTCACAGACCTTAAGAGAACAATAATCAACTTTATATGGAAACACAAAAAACCCAGGATAGCCAAAACAATCCTATACAATAAAGGAACTTCTGGAGTATTACCACCCCTGACTTCAAACTCTATTACAGAGCTACAGTAATGAAAACAGCTTGGTATTGACATAAAAAAAGAAAAGTAGACCAATGGAATCGAATAAAAGACCTGGATTTTAACCCACAAAACTATGAACACCTGATTTTCGACAAAGGAGCTAAAAGTATACAATGGAAGAAAGAAAGCATCTTCAACAAATGGTGCTGGCACAACTGGATGTCAACCTGTAGAAGAATGAAAATAGATCCCTATCTATCACAATGCACAAAATTCAAGTCCAAATGGATTAAAGACCTCAACATCAGTCTGAACACACTGAACCTGATAGAAGAGAAAGTGGGAAGTACTCTACAACACATGGGCACAGGAGACCACTTCCTACATATAACCCCAGTAGCACAGACAATAAGGACAACATTGAATAAATGGGACCTCCTAAAACTGAGAAGCTTTTGTAAAGTAAAGGACACTGTCACTAAGACAAAAAGGCAACCTACTTACTGGGAGAAGATCTTCACCAACCCCACAACAGACAAAGGTCTGATTTCCAAAATAAATAAAGAACTCAAGAAACTAGACTTTAAAATGCTAATTAACCCAATTAAAAAATGGGGCACTGAACTGAACAGAGAATTCTCAACAGAACAAGTTCAAATGGCCAAAAGACACTAAGGTCATGTTCAAACTCCTTAGCAATCAGGGAAATGAAAATCAAAACAACTTTGAGATATCATCTTACACCTGTCAGAATGGCTAAAATCAAAAACACCAATGAGAGCCTTTGCTGGAGAGGATGTACAATAAGGTGTACACTCATCCATTGCTGGTGGGAATGCAAATTTGTGCAACCACTTTTGTAAATCAATTTCTCAGGAAATTCGGGATCAACCTACCCCAGGATCCAGCAATACCACTCTTGGGAATATACCCAAGAGATGCCCTATCATACGACAAAAACATTTGTTCAACTATGTTCATAACAGCTTTATTTGTAACAGCCAGAACTTGTAAACAACCTAGATGCCCCTCAATGGAAGAATGGATTAAGAAAGTGTGGAATTTGTATGCATTAGAGTACTACTCAGCGGTAAAAAACAATGACATCTTGACTTTTGCATGCAAATGGATGGAAATAGCAAACACTTTCCTGAGTGAGGTAACCCAGACCCAAAAAGATGAATATGGTATGTACTCACTCATAAGTGGATTCTAGCCATAAATAAAGGACATTGAGCCTATCATTTGTGATCCTAGAGAAGCTAAATAAAAAGGTGAACCCAAAGAAAAACATATAGTTATCCTCCTGGATATTGGAAGAAGACAAGATTGCCAGGCAAAAATTGGGAACTTGGGGGTGGAGTGAGGGTAAGGGGAGATGGGGTGGAAAAAGTGAGAAGGCGAGGATGGGGAGAGCTTGGGGGAATGTGAGGGTTGGGATGGAGGAAGGGTGGATATGGGAGCAGGGAAGTATATATCTTAATTTAGGGAACCATTTTAGGGTTGGCAAGAGACTTGACTCTAGGGGTGTTCCCAGGTGTCCATGGAGCTAGATCCTTGGGCAGCTGAGGAGAGGGTGCCTGAAATGATATACTGATGAATATCTTGCATATCACCATAGAACCTTCATCTGGCGATGGATGAAGCTAGAGACAGAGACCCACATTGGAGCACTGGGGTCCAAATGGGGAGCAGAACGAGGGAGAACATGAGCAAGGAAGTCAGGACCATGAGGGGTGCGTCCACCCACTGAGACGGTGGGGCTGATCTAATGGGAGCTCACCAAGGCTAACTGGACTGGGACTGATGGAGCATGTGATCAAACCAGGCTCTCTGAACATGCAGGACAAGGAGGACTGACGGAGAAGCCAAGGACAATGGCACTGGGTTTTGATCCTACTGCATGTACTGGCTTTGTGGGAGCCTAGTCTGTTTGGATGCTCACCTTTCTAGACCTGGATGGAGGGGGGAGGACCTTGGACTTCCCACAGGGCAAGGAACACTGACTGCTCTTTGGGCTGGAGAGGGAGGGGAAGGGGATAAGTGAAGGGGGAAGGAAATGGGAGGAGGTGGAAATTTTTAATTAAAAATCAATCAATAAATGAATAATAATAAAAAGGGACAAGTCTCATGACCTAGCCTTTTGAATATGCATTGCTAGTATACATAAAGGATGATTAGAAGAGGAGGTATGGGGAAACTAAGACCTCCCTACTATTCCTGGAGTGGCTTTCTTTGTCCCTTACCTGAAGTGTCACATTCAGTTGTCTTGAGCATAGAACATTAAAAAATATTCAATTTTGTAGCCTAAAAGATATTGTTTCTTGCTACAGGAAGAGATACTCATTACCTAAGGAGGGAATGAAAGAAGGCTTAGGATTTCTACAAAACTCAGGAAGCTGCGTTGTCACGCTCATCAAATCTAGTCCCCCAGGTTATATAAGCAGTAAGCAACTGCTGTGGACAGCAGACTCTGTGGTGGCACTGCCTTCAAGTTAAGCAGGGTGATCCAGGGCAAGTTTTCATCAACTGTCACCCATGCTGGGGCGGGTCTTTTCTGTGACGTAGGTGCCTTTGATTCACCCATGCCCCTGTAAGTAACTCTCCTGATCACCACACTAAACTCGGATGGAATTATTTCTTTTTGGTCTGTCACTGATACTTCATTTGGGGATGAAAGACCCTTTGGTCACATCTCCCCAGCAAAAGGCATGCAAGTGAGCAGGGTCTGAAATAATCAAAGATGAATTGGGAAGGAGCAGCTGCAGAGTCACTAACATGTTACTGCATGCAACTAAGACTGTTCTGAGACCAGAACATCCACAGAAGCAATTCTAATGTATGTGCCCACCTTTTGCCTTTTGCATGGGAGATCCTCCCTCCCTGAGACAGAGTACACAGAACCTGAAGCAGTATGAGGAAGACAGTCTCTGAAGTAGAGCTCATATAGGCCATTAGGGCCATTTGGTTACCATTGGCTCAGATCTTTCTTGAGGAGTAGCAGGAACTGAAAAACAGTAGAGAAAGCATTACTGGAGGAACTGGTCATGTGATAAGTGGTGGCAGCTACCCAGCTCACTGGACTAGAAAAGGCTGCCCGAGGAAAGTTAAGATGCTGACTCAGGAGGGATCTTGGAACTCGTAAGGGGTTTTAGTCGCTTTGCTAAGTCCATGGTAGGGCATGATCTTTATTGGGCAGAAGAGGTTCTGGTGGATTTGAATACTCACAACAGAATGTATACTGGGTGTTTAAAATGCTAATAGAAGTGAGATCAGAAAAGCATATAAGGGAGTCTTTCTTGGTTACTGAAAGGCAGGTGTGGCAAGACTTAGGATGAGCTGGAGTTCTCAGGAGGGGATTGATAAAAGACCAAATGTGCTTTTTTGAGATTTTCAAAAGTTTTAAAGCCTGAACAGCTCCATAAACTGGTGAAACAAGAGCAGGATGAGAAAAATTACAAGAGAGAAGACTGAGGTTTTCCCGGAGGCAGCTGTGCTCAGGAGTATGCTCTGGAGTTGCTCTGAAGAAGGGCATGCTGGGGTTATACACATAGACTACTGCTGCCATCAGCCGCTAACATGGAAGGTATACTGAGGTCACTCAGCCCAGGCCCTTTTAACAACCATGTGTGGCTGATGGAGAGGGATGACAATGACATTTATCAAAAGCTTATTAGAATCAGAGATGGCTCTAGTGGCAAGTGCATTATGAAAGATAGGGACCCACTTGCCCTTGGCCAAACTAGCCCATCAGTACAAGCTGGTCACATAGGACCCAGTGAGGGAATGCAAAGCAGGCCTTCAGCATGGAGCTATGGGTCTTCAGTCTTGGGGAATGGTTATGATTAAAGAATGTGGAAGAAGGCAGTGACTCCCATCCACACAAGTGTACCTAACATTGCTCTTTTAATAAAGCCAAATGGTTCAAATGTTAGGCTCTTTCTATGCTGTATTGGGTCTCAATAAGAGCTTTCTCTTAGCTGCCTAGAACCAACTGTCATTTACTTGGAATGGATGGTAAGCCTTCAAAGACCTGCCTTCACTGTAAAAAGGTCTCATCCTATGTTAACCAACTGAGTGTCTTTGCAGACTTAGAAGAGAATCTGCAAGAGCAGTAAAAACAGCAGTTAAAGTGTCTGCTGGAAGTCATCCTGAGTGGGCACTCCCAGGAGTCATAAGGTTGCTGAGTGTTAAAGAGTTGGTTACCTGTGAGCTATTGGCCAAGGAGACCTGAGTTCTCCCCTCACCTCCTACCCCTGCCATACAAGCTATTGCCTCTGCTGTTGGTTTCACATTAAAACTAAATGGTAAGACTCTATTACTCAAGACATTGCATGCTTTGATTTAGGGGACATGAGAAATCAATCTGGGACTGGGCTGGGAGCTTCTTACCTACTGGACAGTTTCCATAGTGCCGGAAAGTGATGTGCAGTCTACTGTGGGAGAAATGTCACCAGCGGTCCTGTCCAGTTATGAATTCTATGTACTACACTATGAACATGCTAGGAATGACATGCCAGCTGTCACAATAAAGGCACAACTGCTACATGTGCAATCAAATTAGCTGCTTTCGGCTTAGATTTAAAGCCTGCTCTGCAGGACTGACATCTGCTTTTGTTAAGCCAAAGCAAATACTTGTGGCTAGGGAGGTCAGGAGGGCTGGGGTGAAGAAACTACCACTGCTTCTGTTTTAACATGTGGTGTGAAGTACCTAACTGCCTTTGAGACAGCTGTTTACACTCACAGATTACTGCTGTCAGCAGCCTCTAATATGGAAGGAAAGGCTGCTCCCCCCAGCAGAGGCTGATACCATCTGTCAAGCTGCTGAGAATAAGTGGGCTGATATTAGGGCACTATGGCCCTCATGCTCATGCAGAAATGGAAGAAAATAATCAGTCATCTCTTACCTATTCAAAGGCTTAGGAAACATTTTGGAAGACAGAGTGGAAAGAACATCAAGTGTCCCAGGAAGAAGTGAATGCAGCACAACTATTTCCTCCCAAATGAGATATCCCCTTTTGGAGAGGTGGCGGAGTGTGCTTCATAAGCCTCACGAAGCTAATGCAACTTAGGCTCTGGAAGCTCATTGATTCAGGAAGCTCATTCAATTACAAGATTCATGAGGCCCCTCTCCAAGATGATACAAATAGGAAGCAACTGCTGGTGAAGACTCTGTTGGAGCCACTTTCAGACTGAGCAGGAAACTACCAGTTGTCCATTCTGGGATGAACTTTTTGGTGATACAGGTACCACTGTGCCTACGAGTAAGCCCTTACTCAAGTTGTTACTAATGAACTTAATAGTTGACCAAATTATATGGGTAGAAGACTTTCTTTGATCTGTCATTCTATCTTATCTGGCGTGGATAATGTTCACACCTCTCCAGGAAAAGTCGCATAAATGACAAATGGAGAGCCATAATCCGGGACTGTGAATACAACTGCTTCCTGGAGCTTACTAGGGCCTTTTGGCTGTTTTAGAATTAAAACAATTAATTTAAACTTTTAACTGTTCTCTTCTAATGCTCCTGCTCTACAAAATTAAGGAACATAACAATACGGTTCTTCCACTCACCAAATTCTCACTCTTGTTTCAACTGTTCTATATACAGATGCACTTCTCATGTAATGGCAAAATGACTTTGGAATCTTGGGTATGTATCTCTATTCTCTTAAGCCACATGACACTATTTCTCTTACCTTTCAGCCTTATCCTTGAAATGTGGTTAACACTGCCTATCTCCCATGCTTATTTTATGGAGCAAATGAGGTAATTAAAAAAAAAAAGTCTCTTGGCATAGAATTCAGTACAGGGTAGGTGCTCGATATGGCTCATTACTTTGTGTTTCAAGCTCTTTTAAATCCTTTTTGAGAAGTCAATATTTAAATAATAAGCAAATGTTCCATTTTATTTACTCATAATTATAAAAGAAAAATTAGATCACTCAGGGAAAGGGTTGGTCTGTTTACTGTCTTACCACAAGTGAAGTGCTCAACTAAACCCCCAAAGCAAACAGTCCTTGATCTGGAGGCACCATAAACTGCTGAACACAGATGGGATAGACCCTTGATGATAGGGTCTTTAGCTGAAGGTGAAACCAGCAAGACTTCTACTTACCAGAAGCAAAGACCCTTCCCCTTCTGCAGTTGGCAGGAGGCAATCTGATTCAGTGAGTATAGCTCAAGTCCTGTGAAAGTTCAACCCAGAGCAAAGAAAATGAAAGTAATACATTCCCTGGCTTCTGGCATTCAAATCAGTGTGCTTTGAACCATGCGGAAAAACTGGTTTGATTTTGGTGGTGTTGGGATGGAATCCAGAACTCTGTATGTTAGGCAACTGCTCTACCACTGAGCAACAGCTCTATTTGAAAACTGTGGGGTTTTTGTTTTTGGTTCTTTTCCTTCATAAAAGTCATATTTAAGTACCAAGAAAATATTAGCTTAAAGTTTATTACAACAGACTTTAAGAAACAGAATGAGGAATAGAAAAGGAGAAGACAGGAAGAAATGAGAGAAAAGGTCAATTAAGTAATGGTTGGTACAGAAAGGTCAGTATGGGCAGAGGTTTAATTATCTTCTA